AATTGGCAATGGCTACCACCTTCCCTTTTTAGACGTTTCCTCTCTTTTCACTTTCCTAACATCTGTTGTACATTTTGGATACCACTAACTACAACATGATGTTCACCAGTGAGTCCAAATCATTTTACCCATGAGCAGGATCTCAGGTTGCATCCATTTACCTACATGAGCCTCGAGATTATCCTTTTAAATCGCTGAGTAGCTGTCTACTGTATAAAAATACTGTATCTTTTTTTCTTCATTCTGCAGTTGATGGGGAGGCTACCCTTGCTTTTTTCTGGGTTCTTGTCACATGGACCATTGTCTTATCTTCTCCAACTTTCAGCTCATGAATTTCTTTTCGAGTCAAGTTTGTTTCTTGTATGCAGCATATTGATGAGCTTTGTCTCCTGATCCACTCTGTCCATGTTTCTTTTTATTGGTGAGTTGAGGCTATCTACATGAATGGTTATGACCAACATGTACGGGCTCATCTCCACCATGCTGTTTTTCTGCCTTTGTCTCTCTACTTCTCCCCTATGTTCAATTGCCTGTTCTGCTCAGTGATTCCCCTCTGCCACTGTTTCTGGGACTATGGTCATCTTTATCTCGCTCTAGAATATCGTTCAGTACTGTTTGTAGGGTTGGTTTGTGATCATGAATTTCTTCAGTTGTTCTTTGTCATAGAAGTACCTTATTTCTCTATTAATTTTAGAGATATCTTGGAGATAGTAAAAGATAGTTCTGCAGCATATGTCAGTCTGGGTTGAAAGTTGTTCTGTTTCAGGACTTGAAACACTTCAAGCTCTTCTTGACTTGATGATTTGTGTTTTGAAATCTGCCATGATTCTGATGGGTTTTCTTTTATAAGTGATCTCTTTCTTTTCTCACACAGCTCTTATTTTTATTTTATTTTTTAGAGTAGAATATATTTATTGAGAGAAAGAAAGCTTCCATCTGAAGAGAGACAGAAGGGGTTCCATGTGGGTTGCCTCTAACAGCCATTAACAGTTTGTTCTTGTGCTGAATTTCTGGGATCTTGATTATTATATGTCTGTGTGTAGATTTATTAAGGTTATGGCTAGTTGGAGTTTTATATGCCTTACTTATCTGTATATCAGTTCCTTTTCCCATGCTTGGGAAGTTTTTGCAATTCTGTAAATAGTCTTGTTACATTATTTGTGTTGACCCCCTGTCCTTTTTCACTGACACATACCAGTCTGAAGTAATTTTTCTTTGCATCATCTTACAGCTGTTGAATTGTTATTTCCTGGTTCCGTATTATTTTTAAGAGATCTTTTCCTTTCATGATTGTTAACTGCAGTCCTGTCTTCAAGATCTGAAAGTCTATCTTAAGTTTTTTTTCAAGTGGTTCTGACAGCTTTCAATGGCGTTTTTAATTTCCTGGATATCTCTTTGAATCTATTTCATGCAATGTAATTCCTTTCTATATTGTTCATTCAAGGTACCCATCATGTTCCTTATGCCTCTTTTATATCTATATGTTCTTTAGATGTGTTCATCAATTCTTTTTTTGTACTGGGATTATATTTGTCATTTTTTCTTTTACCTGAGATATTATTTCTGATCCGATTTCTTTTACAACCTCATAAAGTTGTTTCTTGACTTCAGTTACTATCCTTTGAGAAATTTCAGGTATGTAACTTTCATATTCTCCCAGGTCTATGTCTCCCAGACTTGTTCTGTGTGGGATGGAGATTTGAGATTGCTTTTTGCTCTTTCATCTTGACATTTTCTTAGATTCCTCCAAATGAGCTGGTTGTGGGATCCCATGTGCTTCCTGCATTGGCTGCCCATCTGTGGTGTGGAGGAATGAGTCAGGCACCTGGATTTCTCCTGATCTAGTTTCCTGGGGAGTCAGTGGTGAGCAGGGCAGGCTTCTCCTGACACATAGCTACACTGGCTCCCTTCATGGTGGCAGGCAGTTCTTCTGCTACACTCTGGCTACTGTTCCCAGTGGCAGCTGGCAGGGTCATGGGGGGCATGACTTGCTGGTTCTTCAGGCCTGAGCTGCCTACTGGTCCCAATTGCTGCTGGCAGGCTCACCTTGGTATACTTTTGATACACATAATGATTACATTGATCACTGGGAATTTGTATATATATATATATATATATATATAATGTATAGGTGTCACATTTTCTTTACCTATTCATCCACTGCTACATGTTTAGGTTCAAAGTATTCTCTTTAATGCCTTTTAAAAATAATCCCTTAAACATGGAAATATTATAACATATCTAAATTCTTGTTTCCACTTCACCCTCCCTTCCCTTCAACCCTTGTTCCCCTCATTTGTTTCTATTTTTTCCTTCTATTCTTTTTTTCTCCTTTTCCCTTGCTTTCCTTTCCTCTCCCCCCTCCCTTGTCTCCCTTTCCAATTGAACATTTTCTTCCACAAGAGAAACATTTATAGCATTAATTGTGCATACTTTTAAAACTTGGCATATTGTGGACACTGTTTTCCATCAGGGACTACATGCAGATGGAAAAAAATTTGGAAATTAAAAGTCTTATTATTAGCCAGGCATGGTGGCACACAGCTGTCATCCCAGTAGCTGGGAATCTGAGGCAGGAGGATTGTTGTGAATTCTAGAGCAGCCTGGGTTCCAAAGTAAGCTCAAGGCCAACCTGAATTGCATAGTGAGACCCTGTCTCGAAAAGGACCCCCCCCCCCATATTATTGTAGAAGTGGTATCTTTCTTTCTTTAAGAAAAGAATCTTTAGGGGCTGGGGATTTAGCTCAGTGGTGTAAAGCACCTGCCTGGCAAGCACAACATCATGAGTTTGATCCCTGGTACCAGAAAAAAAAAAAAAGAATCTTTGGGAAAATCTTACTAATGGCACATTGTCTTAAACACGGGTGGAGTATTAACTGTTGCCTAGAGTGATTTATTACCTGTTTTTTTTTTTTTTTTTTACTTTTTGAGAAAGGATTTCATTATGTAGTTCAGGTTGGCCTTGAACTATGTAGTTAGTCCAGGCTGGCCTCAAACTCATAGTGACCCTCCTGCCTCAGCCTATCAAATGCTGGAATTACAGATGTGTGCCACCATGCCTAGCTGCTTACTACTTTGAAACCCATTTACAGTAAGTCGCAGACTTACAAATTAGTTCTGTTTCTAGAGAACATTTGTAAGTACACCTGTGAAAGTTTGTAACTCAAGTATCGGTAAGTCAAGACTTACTGTTACTATTGATGTCTTTTTTTGCAAAATTTTATTATATATTTTTGTTAATGAGTCAATATTGGGTTTTAAAAACTCATGCATTAAAAACATACACTCTTAAATAACAACAAATTCTATTGTTAGAAAATTCAGAAGAAAGATAAGCTGTATTTTACTGCCATTTTTCAGCTGCATGAATGAAATCTTGTATTTTATGCCATATGAATAAAATCTTTTTATTGGAATCAGCTGTCTCATGGGGCCATAAGAATGTTCAAAACAGCTATTAAGAGAGAGTAATTAGATACCATTGAAAAGTAAGATACCCTTATTGCTGGATCATGAAGCAAAAATAGATAAATGAACAGATAAATAAATAAAATCTATTTTTAAAAACAAATTCTATGCAGGCTATAATCTGAAAGATTGTTTGAGAAGCCCTGAAATTCTTTTTAGAAAATAAGATTTTGGAAACCTTCCTAAAAGAAAATAGCCAAGATTAATGCTTCTACTTAATAGTGTCTTATAGAAATTTAGGTAATTATCTTATATTCTTTTTTTTTTTTTTTTTTTTGTCTTTTTCCTTTTTATCAGTACTGGGGATCGAACTCACGACTGCCTGCTTGCAAGGCAGGCGCTTATGCCGCTGAGCTAAATCCCCAGTCTATCTTATATTCTTTTACCCTTAAGTTGTAGCATGTAAGGCTAGAATATTTCACACTTAAGATACTGCAATAGCTCAATTTCTTATATATTAAAAATAATCAAAGTCTATAAAGAAAACAAAACCAGTGCCCTTTTTTTGGATCTATTTTAAGCCAAACTAATAGCTGTTTCTATTCCAAAAAAATGCCCTCTAATTATCCTAACAGTATTTTAAGATTCTTTAATCTCTATACTTCCGCCATCCCTAGTACTGGAAGTTGAAATCAGGCCCTAGAAGCTACTAAACAAGTATTTCCCACTGGGCTACATCCCCAGCCCTTTATATTTTTTATTTTGAGACAGCATCTCCCAAAGTTGCCCATGTTGGCCTCATGCAGTGCTCTTGCATCAGCATCCTGAGTAGCTCAGACTACAGCATGTGCTATCTTGGTTTTTGGAGGGTTTTTTTGTTGTTGTTGTGTTTTGTTTTTTGGTACTGAGAATCAAACTCGGGACCTTGTGCTTACCAGGCAGGTGCTGTGCTGCTGAGCTATATGTCTGGCCTCTGTATGGGCCACCTTGTGCAGCTTGCTGGTGTTTTTTTAAAAATTTAATTATTAAAACTTTTAATAGTTACTTAAAGTATACTGGAATGATGGCCTAATAGTAATGGAGTATTATTCATTCCTTTTTTTTTTTGGTCTGTTTGAGACAGGGTCTAACTGTGCAGTTTAGGCTGGCCCTGGGCTCACTTTATAGCCCAGGCTAGTCTCCAACTTGCAACGATCCTCCTGCCTCAGCTTCCTGAGTGCTGGGATTACAGGAGTATGCCACCATGTCCAGCTTCATTCCTGTTTTTTATAATTTGAATGTATTATTGTAGATGACATATATTATAGATGATATTCTACATGAATATATGATAATTTCTATAAAATATTTGATGTATAATTATATATGATATTTACAATGCTAATGAAGGTGTTGCATTTTATAATATTAAAGACTTAAAATATTAAATTCTTAGAAATTTTATTTACTTAGTATAGTCACTTGTCTTTTGTAGATACTATTTGATAAATATTTCTTAGTGATTTTGTTACCTGCCATTTCTTTGCCAAGGGAAAATGGGGTACTTTGGCACAGTATTAAGATTTAATAAATAGATTTTTTCCCCTATTTAGTGGAGAGGCATAGAAAGAAGAAAATCAATGCTGGGATAAACAGGATAGGAGAGCTGATTCCCTGTTCCCCTGCCCTGAAGCAGGTAAGAATCCCCTCTTATTTTCATCATTACTGTGAATAGACAATTCCCTAAATTGATTTGGTGCTTAGAGTGATTATTTTTGTTCCCTGCTACATGAGGATTTTTTTTAAAGCTTCGTTTTTCAAAGTTTGATATTCTGTCTAGATAGAGATTTTCTACATTATCATTCCCTAGAAATTAAAATTTATAACATCGAGTTCCTGGTGGATAAATATCTATTGCATACTGCAGTGATACATTTTACTTTGTGATGCATAGCAGAATTCTTTGGATGACATCTAGTAAGTATTTTTACATTATTTAGCTATTCAGTGTTACCTATTGAAAGAAAGCAGTACTGTGTAAACTGGAAAAAAAATCCTCTTTCTAATCCTTGTTCGGTCATTCCCAGAGAAAGAAGACAGGTCAGTTTGAAGAACAAGATTTTCTAAGACATTTTTTGATGCTGTGTATTTACTCTAGTTGTATCATGTCAGAATTCCTAGCATCATGTCCCTGAAATGCCCCTTTGTGTTCCCAAGACTTGCTAATCCAAGGGGATTGTAATCAGGCAAGCACTGGGATTCCCAGGTAGTATTGTTTAACAGACCCTGGGAATTGAGCAAACAAATGCAGTCTGTAGAAACTGACTTCCTGCTTGTAAATTGTCAGGTATTCCTTGGCAGTGAACATGCTAATTACTTTTTTTTCCCCTGATACTGGGAATTGAACTCAGGACCTTGTGCTTGCCAGACATGCGTTTGTGTCTCTGAGCTGTATCCCTAGCCCCGACAGGTATTCCTTGGAATGCTGGTTATATTATAGAACACACAAAGCAAATGATGTCACTGCTATGTACTGGTTTCCTACAGTAGCTTGCTGCTGAGCAGTTCATCTAACAGCCACCACTATACTGTTATTAGGTGCTGTTATTAGGTACATCTCCCTCGTGGATTCTGCCAAAAGGTGCTGTTGTTGAGTTTGGTTGTAGAGACAAATTAGGAAAAAAAAACCCACTTCTATTCAAATTGAATTTCTCACTTTTCATTACATGTAGTTTTTTAAGACAAATGTAACATGCACATAGTTACAAGAGAACAATATTCAGTAAGCATCATTTTAAAACCATTTACCTGACTTTGAAGATTGCACCCTAGGTTTGGTTTACGTACAATGGCCAACACATGAGATTGTGGCGTACACAAAACTCTTCACTGTAAGCTTTACCAAATTATAGAAATGTTTAGGTTCATCCATGTTAACGATGGTTCTTTTTTTACTTTTCTCTATCTCATACTAAATAGTCCCTGTATTTATTTCTTTTTCCACACAGGAGGAATTTAGAGTCAATCATCTACCAGTATCTTACCTGGGAGTAACAGTGGTGCAGGGAGGAGTTGAGTTTATTTTCTCGTAACCTTTGTTTGTGCTAGGTCATGGCTGGGGACCAGAGTCTTCATACTTCCGTAGGTGAAGTTTTTCTTTACACAGTTTTCACTCACAAGCCTCTTGTCCTCTTTGTGTCAAGTATCCCTGAGGTTGAATACTCTGGTTCAGATTTCACAGAAAATGGACTTGTTTCCTGTGGTTGAGGCAGAAAAGTGAAATCGTCCAGCTGCAAAGGATATGTACGTGGAGATGAGGTTCCTGTATATTACTGTTTTAGTGAGAGTCTTTCAGTGAGTACCTCACCTCACCTTCTGTAGCAGCTGATGCTTCCCAGCGCTGAAACTTTCTAGGATTTTGGAAGGCCAACACAACTTGTTTTCAACATTATCTTCCCTGGCAAGGATTTACACTTCAGCTTCTTTTCATTTTCCCCTACTGTGTGGACTGAGATTTCTATAAAAGTATTCTGGTTTGTTCTTATTTTTCCATACCATAATGTGGAGTAGTGGCTTAGGAAATACTGGATTAAAATTTTATTTTCCTGCCACCCAGTACAATTTTATTTTCATGCTCTTGGGATTTTTTTCCTGCTCTTTTGGGATTCATTCCTCTAAGTTTTTCTGAAGACAGGACACCATAACCATTTCACTTCTTAGGTGTCCTAGAATGTGCAAAGAAGTCAGTAGATGGCTTCCAGAAGCAGAGCAGTTTTAAAGTTTTTCTTCACTATTGTTATATTTTCTAGCTCCTGTCTACAGGAAACAGACAAGGGCTGGCTATTACCAGGCTCTTCCAAAGTATTATATTATAGTGATTCCTACATGAAAAGAGGTACATGTAAAGTACTGGATTTATTTAATAATATACCTGATGACATAGAAGTTAACTATTCATTGCCACATGTACCAAAAACAAAACCAGAAATGACTGTTAAATAGGTCAAATGTCTAATAGTAATAATAAGTAAATATAACCATTCAAGAGAATAAGATAGACTTCTAAGTGCTGCGTGAAAGTGTCTTATTAAACTTTAAGTTTAAATAAAATGGTACAAAAATAAATAAATAAATAAAACAGTATAACATGCTATTTATAGTATCTGCTACCTGAATTTTTAAAAAAAGATATATACAGGTATGTGTCAGCCTAGAATATTTCTGGAAGAATATTCAAGTAACCTTAGGTTGATAGCCTTGGAACAAGATCTGGAGAGTTAAAGCAAAAGGAAAGTTACCTTTTGGTATATAACCCTTCATATTACTTAGTTATATGGCATATTATATTTAATGTCTATTAAGAATAAAGGAATGACTTGGCATACAATAGTCTTGTTGAGGAAATGGAATACACTGGGCATGACACCAAAACTCAATCAAGTGACATTTCTTTCTCAACTTATATAGGATAATATATAGTTTTGGTTAACAAATAGAGAATAATACTGAAATATGAAAATGTAAAGTCTTTGCATGGTCTTGAAGGCCCTCTTCCGGCTTGTTTTCCTATCATTCTTTCTGATACCCATCACTGTAGCCCTGCTCACCACCTTACAGTCCTCTTCCTACCAGGCCCAGCTCTATCTAAGGTTTTTTGCCTTCTGATCTTGATGCCTGCATCTTTTCCTCTAGATATAGGCAGGCTGTGACATTGTTACTTCCTTTAGGTTCTTGCTTAGGTAGCGGCTTATACAGAGAAGTGTTTCCAGAAATTTCTATACCAAAACATTCTAATAGAGGGTCCTAGTTCAGACCTCTAGAGCCAAAACACCATCAAATGAGGAACTTAAACAGCAAAAATTTATTTCTTATGGTCCTAGGGTTTGGGAAGTTCCTCGCCTGATGAACAGTGAGATCATTTGTCGCTTTATAAGGCCACTAATCATATTTGTGAGGGATGCACCCTTGAGATAGATGTTTTGACCTTTCAAGACCCCAACTCCAAATGTTATTACATTGGGGATTAGGATTTCAACATACACATTTGATGGGCGGGGGGGGGGCGACACAACTAGTCCATAGTGCAGAGAAAGCTATACCATCACTCCAGGGCGCGCCCCCCCCCCCCCCCCCGCTTTACCCTGGTTTATTTTTCTTTTCTTTTTTTTATTTTTTGGTACTGGGGATTGAACTCACAACCACACACTTGCAAGGGAGGTACTTGCCACTGAGCTAAATCCCCAGCCCACTTAGTTTATTATTCTTTGTACTAATTTTTGTGTATGTATAGGTAACTGTCATTAATTATTTTACATATACAGGTATATTTATATTCTTCAAAGACCTGTACTTGGTCTGTTTTACAACTATATTCCAGTGGCTCAAACAGAGCCCAATGTATTGAATGCCCAATCAGTATTTAGTAATGGAAAATGAACTGAAGTGCACATTTTAAAGTTTGAAAAGTTACATATCACACGTATGAAATAAACCCAAATCTCTTAAATTTCTTTAGCAAGTTCTTACCATTTAATGAAACTTTTAAATGGTTTTCTTTGGCAGAGCAAGAATATGATCCTGGACCAAGCCTTTAAATATATAACAGAATTAAAAAGGCAGAATGATGAACTCCTGTTGAATGGAGGAAACAATGAGCAAGGTAAAGAAAACTTGAGATTCATACTTTTTATTGTTTAAGTGTGTAGGCCTTGAGTGATCAGGCAACTTACTTTAGGATATAGTAGGTTTCCCACCACAAAGACATTACTAAGACCCTACATTCAAGGGATCTATTTATTTTACAAATAAAATCATTGTAGTTTAACTCCTTTCTGCCTCTGTGAGCAAATGCATTCATAATTTTGACTTTGAACTCTTTTTTATACTTCATGTTCACCTAACTCATGGTACTAATACTAAATCTCTTTTATTCCAATTGGATCTTACAGCGTGGAAAATCCCATACTAGGATATAGGGAGGAGTTCTCAATGTCATTTAAAAACAGGATAGGTCTGTGCCTGCCAATAACTCAAAAGGCCAACAATGTTTATTTTGTAATTATTTACATTGATATAATGTATGCATCAAATTGTATGATTTTTTGATAGAGGAGGCTTTTATTTTAATGCTGTTAAATGAGTTCTGTTTTCAGCACTGGAGAGACAATGAAAAGAAAAATATCCCAGGCAAGTATAAAGCTGAGATGGTAGACCTTTATTTATGGCTCTCAGAGAAAATTTCCTATGACAGCTCAGTAGGCCACCTTAAAAGGAGAGAAGCAAGGCAGAACTCACTAAGATAGGGACAGAGCTGGGCTATGTTTCTTTTAATGGTTTGGAAGGATATTTGAAAGCATATCTATGAGGTCAGCATTCAGAATTCTCTGTTTAATTTAGCTAAATAACAGCTCGCTCTCCTCTAAGTTAGTTATGTTTTATGGCCCAGGCCTTTAAATTGAGCAATCAGATAGATACAAGAATATTTGTTTGGCAGCTGTTGTGAGACACTTCACAAAGCGATGGCAAAGCCAGTGTTTTCTAATGAAGGCTCCTTTGAGTTCAAAGCGCAGAGGCTAAGGCAGCCAAGTGACTTAGGGAAAGTGGAAAGTATTGCAAAAATACCAGGTATATGGGATTTAGAAAAAGCTGAGTAGCTAGGCCAGGGGTTGGGGCCAACACTGAAGCAGCTTAAGCTTGGATACAGTGTCATCTCTTCCATTATTGTATCACTGCTTCTTTTTGTGTGACTTGCTGTATCCTCTGTTTGTATCCAAGTGGCTTCTTCTTCATTCTCCACATGATGGTCCTGTGTAGGGTCAAAGCAGTGGCCTTGGAGTCAGGCCCACCTGCTCCTGAGTCTCAGCTTCGTTTTTGCACTAAGTACCTTTTGGCCAGTTATATAACCTCTCTGTGCCTCAGGTTTCCTTATCCCTAAGTGAAGGCAATTATAGTATCTACCTGGCTGATTTTAGGCAAATTACATAAATACTCTGAGCCCATTTTCTGCAAAGATAATGATACTGACAGCCCCCATCTTGTGGTTCTTATGAAGATTAAAAGAGCAGTTATAGATAAAGCATTTAGACTAAAGCCTAGCACATAGTAAATACTTGATAAATGTTAGTGATTATCATTATCATCGAGTGACATAATGAGTGAAAGCATCAGTAAGTGTTCAATGAGAGCAAAGATCATTACTATTTGATTCATAATGATTGACCTTTAACTTTTAATACCAACTGACATCTTTTGTCTCTTTATTTAAAAATCTAAGAAAAATGATCTGTCATTAGTTTCAGCTCATCCTTGTTGAATGGAGCTTTCATTTCAGGCTACCTTTGATGAGGTAGGGGTGAGAATATCTGCTATTATGGCCAGGCAGATGAGGATGTAAGGGGTTGCAGAGTATAAATATCATCAGCCAAAGTTGCCTCCATAGTAAGGAGAGGGAAAAACAAAAGCAGGAGAGACGGCTGTTGTAGACCTTCGTTGCTCAGCAGTGTATCTGTCTTGGCCCTAGCAAGGGAAACTGCAGATCCATTGTCAATATTTCTTTGGTACTCCATGAACTTAACAGCTGACGTATTCTCATTCCTTTCAGTCTCCATTGTTTCAAAGTATAAAATAGAAACTAAAACCATTTATGAGATAGTCTGTTACCACTGCAAGTCATGTTAGCTGTCACAGCATTTAAGTGGCATTATAAGAATATTTAGTGTTATTTTTCCCAGTATATTACCATGATGTTAGTATGTCTTCCCTTGCTTCATCAGTGTAACTGCGCTGTCAGAAATTTTTGAATTGGATATTTTGAGATTTCTGCATTGTGAATGAGTTTCTAGTGTTTGGCCTTTAAAAATGTGTACTTTTAATAGGATGGGATAGCTGTTTGAAATAACATTCTAAAGAGAAGAAGAAACGTGTATTAGCAAAGTTCTGAAGATTCTCAATTGAAGTATTTGGAATGTAGTATTAGAATTCAGTATTTTAGTGTGTAGCTCTTTTTCACACTTTTACATTGACTTGCACCAGTGTTTTTAACTTTCTATTTTTAATATTATAGCTGAAGAAATTAAAAAGCTACGGAAACAACTGGAAGAAATCCAAAAAGAAAATGGCCGCTATATTGAATTACTGAAAGCAAATGACATATGCTTATATGATGACCCCACAATCCACTGGAAAGGAAACCTTAAAAACTCAAAGGTATCTGTTGTTATTCCAAGTGACCAGGTTCAGAAAAATATCATTGTTTATTCCAATGGGAGTCAGCCTGGTGGAAACAGTCAAGGAACAACGGTTCAGGGTATAACCTTTAATGTTGGTCATAATTTACAGAAGCAAACAGCCAATGTGGTGCCAGTACAGAGAACTTGCAATCTTGTGACTCCTGTGTCTATTTCTGGAATTTACCCTTCTGAAAACAAGCCATGGCATCAGACCACAGTTTCTGCATTGGCTGCCAATCAACCTGTTCCTCTTTGTCTTCCTGCTACCATTTCTGCTCAAAATATTCTTGAGCTTCCCACCTCTGAAAGTGAAGCAAGTGTGCTCGGTGCCACCGGAGGCTCACTGATTGCTGTAACAGTTGGTCCTGAACCTCATCAGCATCCTTCCTCACACACATGTCCAAATGATCAGAATTCTTCTGAAAATAACAGTGGGTTAGACAGCACCAAATTAGTAAAGAAGACATCCCCCTGTCTCACAAATGTCTCCTCCAGCTCCTCAGCCACTGCCACTAAGGTACACTGTGGAACCAAGTCCTGTTTGAGCCTTCAGAACTGCAGAGGTGATTTGCAAAATACCTTTGTTGTTTCAGTTACCACAACAGTCTGGTCCCAGCCTCCCAAACCTGCAGGAAATCCTTCTCCACTGAGCATTAGCAAGTGCACAGACTCAACAAATATAACCACAGTGGTGGCATCTTCTGTCCCTGGAGTAGGGAAGACCACTAGTCCAGTAAGCACACTTTCCACAAATCCTTTGGACAGTAGTTGGACTCTTTCTTGTTCTTTGCCTTCTTCAAGTGCTAGTGCTTCAGATTTGAAAAACATTAACAGCCTTACCCGAATATCTTCAGCTGGAAACACACAGACAACGTGGACTACTTTGCAACTGGCAGGAAACACTATTCAGCCCTTAAGCCAGACACCATCTTCCACTGTGACTCCAGTGTTGAGTGAGTGTGGTACTAGCCCCACCACAAGCAACCACAGTAGACATGTGACCACAGGCATCAGTTTAAATAATTCCCTTCCCGCAGATGGACAGCCAGTTGAGCAAGTAGTTGTTACGTTGCCTTCTTGTCCACCTTTACCTATGCAGCCGCTAATTTCCCAGCCACAAGTTAAATCTCAACCTCCAAAAAATCTCCTTCCACTGAATTCAGCAATGCAGGTGATTCAGATGGCTCAGCCAGTTGCACCAGCTGTTAATGGAGCTTCAGCTAATCAAAACGTTATCATTCTTCAGCCACCCAGCACCACCCCCTGCCCAACAGTGATGAGGGCAGAGGTTCCAAACCAAACAGTAGGGCAACAGATAGTCATCATACAGGCAGCTAATCAGAATCCGTTGTCACTCCTTTCTGCTCCACCTCCTGGTTCTGTTCGACTCCCTGTCAATGGAGCCAGTGCTATAGTAGGCTCTAGTAATTCAGTGCAAAATGTTTCTACCCCACAGACTTTTGGAGGAAAGCATCTTGTCCACATATTACCAAGACCTTCATCTTTATCAACATCTAGTTCAACCCAGACTTTTTCTGTTACCATGTCAAACCAACAACAGCCTCAGACCATCTCTTTAAATGGACAGCTCTTTGCTTTGCAGCCTGTGATGTCTTCATCAGCAACTACAAGTCAAACCCCTATGCAAATTATTCAACCCACCACCAGCGAAGATCCAAATACTAACGTTGCCCTGAATACATTTGGTGCTTTGGCCAGCCTCAATCAAAGCATATCACAGATGGCTGGGCAAAGCTGTGTACACCTGTCTATTAGTCCCTCTGCCAATCCTCAAACTGCTGCAAATAGTCAAACCAGCCCTGCTAACTGTGTTTCATTAACAGCAGGTATAGCACCTCCCATGACAACAGATAATTCAGCCACTCTACCCAGTACTTACAGTCTTGTGACTACTTCAGTAAACACTACTGCTTGTTTGCCGCCAGCCATGAAGTCAAAAAGGTTAACTAAGAAGCCAGGTGCCAAGAAACACTTAGCAGCTAGCAAACCGGCGTGTCCCCTGAATCCAGTCAGAGAAGTAGGCAAGTTAGACCGCCCCAGACCTGAAGGCTCCGTAGAGCCACCATGTCACGATGGACTGCTGGAAAGCCTTCCTGTTGTTCTACCATCTGTCACTGTGTCCGAAGCAAATAATGTTAGTGTTTCTGCTTCACATTCTTTGGATGTTCTAAATTCTGAAACAGTAATGCCTGAATCGGTGTCCAAATCTAAGTCAGCAGAAGCATCTAGCTCACCCTGCCAAGAATCTGTAACAAGTGAACATTTTGCAGCATCCCCAGAAAAATCCAAAGATTCTGTGCCCATTTTGGAACAAGAGACATCTCAGGATAGACCACCAACTAGTTTAGCATTGTCAGATGCTACCAAGTCCTGCACTTCAGCCAATGCATTAATTCCATCTCCAGGTGATTCCCAGGTTTTGGTTTCTCAGGTTTCTGGTTTGTCATCCACCACAAGCACTACAAATACGGACTGTGTTTCTGAGGTAGAAATCATCACAGAACCTTGCAGGATTGAGCAAAGTTCATCAGATACAATGCGAGCTGCAGGGCTCTTAAAGGGGCAAGGTTTAACTACATTGCTGTCTGATCTTGCTAAAGAAAAGGACCCTCAGAAATTGTCTCTTTCGGTACAAATTGATCATCCTGACTTTTCTTCAGAAAATTCTAAGGTAGTTGATTCCACTGTGGATTTACATCCTAAACAGGAATTATTACTGGTGAACAGTGAAGACAGTGATCCACCACAGCAGCATTCCTGCCTCCCTGATCAGGAAGTTATGAATGGTTCTCTCCTTGCCAGGCAGGCTGACTCTCCCATGTCAACCAGCTCTGGCAGTAGTCGTAGCTTCTCAGTGGCATCCATGCTTCCTGAAACAACTAGAGAAGATGTGACCAGCACTACAACAACTAACACATGTGACAGCTGTACCTTTGTAGAGCAAACTGATATAGTAGCTCTTGCAGCAAGAGCTATTTTTGACCAGGAGAACATCGAGAAGGGAAGAGCTGGCATCCAGGCTGATATGAGAGAGGTTACTTCAAAGTCTTCTGAAGAATCATCTTTGGAGGGAGACCAACCTTTCAAATCACACATCCCTAAAGAGACTGACACAGGACAGGGAGAAACAACAGCAAGTGAATATAACTCTCAGGATTCAGTTGAAGTGACAGGGGAAAGACCCCTTCAAAAACCAAGTTGTTCTCTAGGAATTAAAACATCAAATGCCTCCTTGCAGACTGCTTCTTCTCAGCCACCAAGCCTCACCAGTTTAAGTGTGAATAATCTTATCCACCAAAGCAGCATCACTCATCCTCTGGTCAGTTGTACAGGTTTATCCCAAACTTCAGACCAAACAACTGTTCCTACGACAGTGAATCTGACTGTTTCATCTAGCTCCTATGGCAGCCAGCCTCCTGGGCCATCTCTGATGACAGAATATCCCCAAGAACAGCTAAATACTATGGCTAGTACCATACCAAATTCACAGATTCAAGAGCCCCTTTTAAAACCAAATCATGAAAACCGTAAAGATTCTACCAAGCGTGCTGTCCAGGATGATCTGCTACTGTCATCTGCTAAGCGTCAAAAGCATTGTCAGCCAACCCCTCTCAGGCTTGAAAATATGTCCCTGATGAGTCGAACTCCAGATAGCATTTCTGACCAAGCTCAAATGATGGTTAGTCAGATCCCTCCCAACTCTTCAAACTCAGTTGTGCCTGTTAGCAATCCAGCACATGGAGATGGCCTTACACGATTGTTTCCACCTGGTAACAACTTTGTGACCTCTGCATTGAGGCAAACAGAAGTTCAGTGTAGTTCTCAGCCTTCAGTTGCTGAGCAGCAGCAAACTCAGGCAAGTCAACATCTGCAGGCCCTGCAGCAGCACGTTCCCCCTCAAGGGGTATCTCACCTTCACAGTAACCATCTCTACATTAAGCAGCAGCAACAGCAGCAAGCCGGACAGTTAAGAGAGAGACATCATCTGTATCAGCTGCAACATCACGTGCCTCATGCAGAGAATGCTGTCCACTCCCAGCCCCATAATGTACACCAACAGCGAACTCTACAGCAGGAAGTTCAGATGCAGAAAAAGAGGAATCTTGTTCAGGGGACTCAGAGCTCTCAGCTTTCCCTACAACCAAAGCACCATGCAACTGACCAATCCCGAACCAAGAGTGGTCAGCCACATCCCCACCATCAACAGATGCAGCAGCAGATACAGCAACACTTTGCAAGTTCCCAGCCCGAGAAGAGCTGTGAAAACCCTTCAACTAGTCGGAATCACCACAGCCACCCCCAGAACCATCTCAATCAAGAGATTATGCACCAGCAGCAGGATGTTGGAAGCAGACAGCAAGGTTCAGGGGTCTCTTCTGAACATGTATCTGGGCATAATCCAATGCAGAGGCTTTTGACATCCAGGGGCTTAGAGCAGCAGATGGTGTCCCAGCCAAGTATTGTGACTAGATCTTCAGACATGACTTGTACTCCACATAGGACAGAGAGAAATCGAGTTTCAAGTTACTCTGCTGAGGCACTCATTGGAAAGACATCTTCTAATTCAGAGCAGAGAATGGGTATACCAATTCAAGGTTCCAGGGTGTCAGATCAGCTTGAAATGAGAAGCTATCTTGATGTTCCCAGAAATAAGAGCTTGGCAATTCATAATATGCAGGGTCGTATAGACCATACTGTTGCCTCAGATATCCGCCTTTCTGATTGTCAGACATTTAAACCAAGTGGAGCCAGTCAGCAGCCCCAGAGTAATTTTGAAGTACAGTCTTCAAGAAATAATGAAATAGGTAACTCTGTATCATCATTGAGGAGTATGCAGTCCCAGGCTTTTCGAATTAGCCAAAACACTGGGCCACCACCAATTGACCGTCAAAAGAGATTACCTTACCCACCAGTTCAGAGCATCCCAACGGGAAATGCTATCCCGCCAAGGGACAGTGAAAATACATGTCACCAAAGTTTCATGCAGAGTTTGCTTGCCCCTCACCTTGGTGATCAGGTCATTGGGAGCCAGAGATCACTCTCAGAACATCAGAGGAATACACAGTGTGGTCCATCCTCTGCAGTTGAATATAATTGTCCCCCAACTCATGAAAGTATCCATATTAGAAGAGATAGTGAGAGTCAGAATCGAGAAAGTTGTGATATGTCTTTAGGTGCAATTAACACCAGGAATAGTACCTTGAATATTCCCTTTTCAAGTTCTTCTTCTTCAGGAGATATTCAAGGTCGAAACACAAGTCCCAATGTTTCTGTACAGAAATCTAACCCCATGAGGATTACTGACAGTCATGGGACTAAGGGCCACATGAACCCTCCTGTCACAACGAACATGCATGGGGTTGCAAGGCCAGCTCTGCCACATCCATCTGTGTCTCATGGAAATGCTGAGCAAGGGCCTCCTGTACGTCAAGCTAATACTTCAGTTCCCCAAAGATCGAGACATCCCTTACAAGACAGTGGTAGTTCCAAAATTCGTCAGCCTGAAAGGAATCGTTCCGGAAACCAAAGACATAGTAATGTCTTTGATCCAAGTCTTCCCCATCTTCCTCTCTCTACTAGTGGCAGTATGATTCTTGGACGTCAACAGCCTGCTACAGAGAAGAGAGGAAGTATTGTTCGCTTCATGCCTGACAGTCCGCAAGTACCTAATGATAATTCAGGTCCTGACCAGCATTCATTATCCCAAAATTTTGGTTTTCCTTTTATTCCTGAGGGTGGCATGAACCCACCAATAAATGCTAATACTTCTTTCATTCCACAGGTCACTCAGCCTAGTGCCACTCGAACTCCAGCCCTCATCCCAGTAGATCCCCAAAATACTCTACCCTCTTTCTATCCCCCATATTCTCCTGCTCATCCTACGCTGTCCAATGATATTTCAATCCCCTACTTTTCGAACCAGATGTTCTCAAATCCCACCACAGAGAAAGTAAACAGTGGAAGTTTAAATAACCGATTTGGATCTATTCTATCTCCTCCCAGACCTGTTGGCTTTGCTCAGCCAAGTTTTCCTCTTCTGCCTGATATGCCACCAATGCACATGACCAACTCTCACTTATCTAACTTTAATATGACATCCTTGTTTCCGGAAATAGCAACTGCTCTTCCCGATGGCTCAGCAATGTCACCTTTGCTTACAATAGCAAACTCTTCTGCCTCTGACTCTTCCAAGCAGTCCTCAAACCGACCTGCCCATAACATAAGCCATATTTTAGGTCATGATTGCAGTTCAGCTGTCTAAGTAGATAAGTACATGTAATGGTATTAGGTGAGGTTACAAATGTACTTGTGTGTGCTCACATGCTTATATGTACACAAAGAGAGGGTTGTGTATGTATGTCTTTGTGCTTTTTTTTCCTCTTTGTGTTTGTATAATCAATTTTCAGTTATCTTCTGAATGCTAGAGAGGCCATGTCAGAGATGTTAGCTTGTCAAATACAAGTTAGCTTTAATTTTTAACTGCACAATGTACTTTTTTTAATCTTTGAAGTAGATTTACATTTCCATATTTGATTTGTAATTTTATAGTCTCTGACTATTAATCAGTTGGAGGTTAAGGAAGATCATCTTGGCAATGTGCTGGGTAGAAGGAAGGAGCTGAGATTTGAAACTTGATTATTGATAATTTTTAAAGTACTTGAGGTAGCTGAGTTGCTGTCTAAAAATATGGGCAACTTGGTAAGACACAGTGATGCGTAGTGAGATGCTGGCTAATAACATCTAAAACAACTTTTATACTATGGTCAGTGTTAAATTGATGTCAATTAAATATCCTCACTAGAGCCAAGTATTGGCAAATAAATGGGTTGTTTAATCAGCCTTCATTCCCCAGGGTTGGTTTAGATAGAGGCTTTTTTTCTTAATTATAATTTTCATAAAATATCTGAATTCCATGAATTATTCTTCAAAGTAAGGAATCACATTTTCCTTGAATGTGCCAAGATCCTTTAAAGCAACAGTCTTCCTTAGACAGTTAGCCTTAAAAATAGACCTGAAAAGTAAAGTACATAAATATTTTTCATTTTTGTACTTGCAGTTTGCATCAGCCCCTAAGAATAAAAAGTAGTTATACAGTAGAGTTTTTCATGAGTTCAGTTAAAGAGTGGTGTTTTACCAGTTGAGTTTTTTGGCTTTGTTGTTCCCCGATGTTGGGTGTTGAACTTACACTAGGTAAGCACTACAGCTCTGACTTATATCCCCAGCCTTCAGTTGAGTTTGGTTTAGTATTCTTTCTTTTCTGTCAGTAAATAATGTATTTAGAATCTACACATTTATTTGAGCCTTACTTTTAAAATATTTCAACAGAGTTTTAAACCCTCAGTATTTTCATTTACTGATATTTATATTTTAAATATGGTATTGTCTATTGCATTATTACCCTTCATAAGAATGAGGTGAATTACATTAAGATGAATTTGTTATTTTTCTTAATGGTAGATGTGAAATGGTGCTTCAAAAAAGTATATATGTATGTGAATGTGTGAGAGTATGTATGAAAACAGATTTTAAAGTATAAACTGGTTCTTACTATTCCACAGTGTATAAATATTTGAGAATGTGTTATACATGATAAATACATACAATTTTATGTTAATTAAAAACTAAATAAAATTTGAAAAAAAAATAGGCCTGCCATCTGAAAATGGAAAATTGAAACCTGCTAAAAAACAGAAAAACCTGATATGGGTGGAGTTTTTAAAGACCTCTCTGATGTTAATAATAAATTGAAAAACACTTATATTGAATTTTGAAAATTTAAGAAAACCTAAGAAAGCAACTGCTGTATGTATACTTGTTTTCTTAAACCTGTTGAACCTGACTTTTTAGTTTTATTCTGCCAAAAATGAAATGGGAGAGATGCATATAAATTGTCCTGTCTACTGTGTTGAAGGAGTGAGCCCAGGGCCCAACATGTTTTTTCCATCCTGAGGAAGCCTCTCTGGCCTGGTCAGAGCAGTTACTTCCAATGAATACCTCTTCTAAAGACTCAGCGCAAGGGTTGTTTGTGCCTCTTGAACTGTTCTCACCAAACACTCCTGTTTCTGCTGCCAACTAAAGCAGCCTCCCTGGGGGCCAAAAAAAAAAGTGTGAACAAAAGAAACCTATGTTGTTTTCCTTCAAAAAGATCGTGGAGAAGAATAGGAGAGCTTCATGAATAAATTATTTAAAATGATGGATATACATAACAGTTTAAAACTTTGTTATGCATGAAAAGCAAGACTCATGATTTGCTTTTTAATTCTGTTGAGTTTTAAGCTTTAACATTAAGCTTTTAATTTGTACTTGAAAGATCTAGTCCGTTTCAAGAAGGGAAGTTTTCTGTGCCTCTGGCCATTCATTCTCCCTCTCTTCTCGTTCTGTTTCTCCATCTCACACACACTGCACATCACAGTGGCTGTTGAGTCCTGAAGAACTGGAGACTGCTAGAGATGGCTGGAGCTAAAGTATTGACAGAGGAGATTCTTTTGGTTTTTTTTGAGATGAGGTCTGATTGTGTTGCCCAAGCTGGTCTCAAACTCTTGGGCTAAAATAATCATCCTGCCTCAGCCTTCTGATTAACTAGGACTATTGGCATACATCACCATGCCTCACTGAGAAGCTCAGTTTAAATACTGCAGCGCACAACTCTCTCTCTTGCATTCACTTTATTTACTACTTAGCTGTGTGCAGAGATAGCATTTGCATTTTCTCAGAACTTTCTTTCCAAGAATTCAACACTTTGATACTGAATGAGTCTCAGGAAGACTTCCTTGGCCATCTAACGAAAGATGTGACCATCTGCAAATAACTGGGTTTCTACTTATATGCAGCTCTACCTTATAGACATGATACATACATGTGGTATAGATCATTTCGTAAATGGGCTGGACTCTGTACATGTTCACAGCATAGTGCTCCTATTTGATTTAAAAGCATAAGCACTTACTAGCAGTATTTTTTTATTAGAGCTACATGACTTTGGGGAAAGAAATTTGTTATAAACTATCTTGTGATATCTTGCAATATCATAAGGATGCAAGGATGTAAAGGAATTGCAGAAAATGCAGTCAAGTTTTGCTTAAAGTAAATTTAGTATTATTTTTTGCTCATTAACATGACTATATAAGCCAAATAATTTCATAACATTGAAATCCACAAATGTTTGAGTCATAGGTTAAATCATTTCTCTTTCATCATTACTGATCACAGACTCAGTTATGGAAAGTGGCTGATTCCTTTCATCATTTAACAGTTCTAATGAAGTGAAAAATTTCGTTTCTCTTCATATTTTGACTTTGTCAATGAGTTTGTTAAATATGTCAGTGAATGAGATAAACCCATTTCTTTTTTTTTTTTTTAAACATAGGTTACTTTGGGATGTCACGTTTTGTGTCACTGCAGGAAATTTTTGTTTTTGTTGTAAGAATTTTTGGGCTATCAGAGGTAGCATCCTTTTTCTAACTGAGACATGAGATTTCTACAGAGATCATGATTTATAAAATTTAACTGAAATGTGAAAGTGGAGGAAATGTGTTTTGCAGCAGTCTCCAGTCACATATTCCAGTTATGTTGAACTGCAGTGGAGATCAACTTTTTTTTTTTTTTTTTTTTGTCTTTTTTATCGGTACCGGGGATCGAACTCACAACTGCCTGCTTCCAAGGCAGGCGCTTATGCCGCTGAGCTAAATCCCCAGCCCCAGCCCAAGATCAACTTCTTAAAATCAGCTTTTTTTTTTTTTTTTGGAATCAGGGATTGAACTCAGGACCGCACACTTGGCAGGCAGGCACTTACACCACTGAGCTAAATCCCCGGCCAAAATCAGCTTTCTTAAGGTATAGAATTATGTCACTTGCCTTGTTCTTGCCTTCTGATATTAGACCTTTAATAGAGAGGCTGAAACTTGAACTTCCAAAAAGTATAGACACACATTTTAGTAAAATAAAAAATTTTCAACGTTGAAATAGGCTAAAGATTTATTAATATGCATTTTCTCAGCTTTATTCCTTTGATATATAGATCCTTAGGCTCTTACTTTCTTCCATTTGCTCTGTGTCAAACAGGTGACAGGTAACCTGGTCATTTCTTCAACAGGATAATTACTCCTTTGTCTAGAAACAATTATTAGGCCTACCTTGTGTTAGTGAATCATACTTTCAAATCAGCAATTCATAATTTATGGCTTTGGAACCACTATGGTGCCAGGAGCAACAACATATTTAAAAACAGTAGTTCAGAATTGATCCAGAATATTTCAGTGTGCCATGTGACTCTCTTCCTTGGTTTGGTGGACTTATTTTTTTCCCCATGGTCCAGTGAAGAGAAGGGCAACTGAATGGCTTTGGATCAATATCCGTAGGAGCCTGGAAGTCTTTGTAATTCTATCTAGACAAATGCTGCCTGTACCTGGAAGTAATTTACCTACCAGAGATGAATAATAATAGCCAATGGCTAGCTACACAATGTGGAGTAATCCCCTTGAGTGATGGTTTTATGATACTGATATGCAATTAAAGGCAAAGATTAATTTCTTTTTGAGATGCCTTTTTGGCTGAGTATTAACTGTTTTTGCTTTCCCAAAGTTGTACAGAAAAGGGTCGTTTTTTATTTAACTATATTCTGCATTCTACTCTTCCTGTGTTGGGTTTCTACTAGAGTAAAACCTAGAGAATGTGTGCATTGGACTCTGTGGAGGCCACCACGTGTAGAATAAGGCAGTCCAGTACTCTGTGGGAGGGGAACATTGAGGACCTTGTTGGATGCAGACCTGGTTCTGTCCCCATGCATCTATCCTGGTACTGCACTTTAACTGAAACTGTGCCTCTGGTCCCTAGACCAGATACTGGAGCATATCATTTGTCCACTCCTCTGTTACAGTAAAAGACCAACTGGGATGGTATATGCTGTGTAATCAAACACCTCCTAGAAGACAAGTACAGTTGATGTTTCTCACTGTTGCCTTATCATTATCTGAGCCATCTTTGAAACTGATCTTGTAAAAAAAAAATAGTAGCAAAACTTTTAAATACAAAGCTTGTATGTGGTGGTCATTCAGCATCTTTATTTCTAGATTCACATAAATATCTACTGTAATCTTTCTTGCACACGTATGTAGTCAGACCCTTCACAATCATGAGTCAGATTGAAAATATTGGACATAATATCCATATTGGTGTTGTTTGGGATGACTACATAATCCATCATAGAGATTTCATGTGATAGAGGACAACTTCATTTATGATGTCATACATTTTTTTAAGAAGATGAACTTTTATTTTTGGGGTTGTGTGTGCAGCGATACACCATACTATTTCATAGTAATTTAATGTCTGATTCATTTAAATCCCTTCTTCACTTTTTTGAGACCTTTTCACCCTCCCGTCCTGAAGTCTTAAAAATCACTTTCACCTGTGAGATCACTGAAGCGCTGGACTTGACGATGGTGGTAAATTTTACTGGGGAGTTGAACTCTTGATCTTCCGAGAAGAAAGGGACCAGACAGTGTTGCTTAAGATGCTGCAGTTGTGTTACTGTGAAAAGATTTGCTTCCACTTTCAGCAGGTTATATATCTATATCTATTTCTATATATATATTTTCATTTTGTTAAAAAAAAAAGGTTGAAAAATCTGAGAACATAATTACCTTCACAAATTATTCATAGACACACTGGGTGAGCTTACCATAGGGCAGTTATTAGGAAAAAAACTAATTTTACTGCTTCAATAGTATATTTGTATCTATTACCATGCCAGCAAGATCTGCTGTGCACTGTGTCCTATTACTGTAAAACACCTGGTTTATAATTCTAATGGAAATTAATTTGTTTTGTAATGGAATCCAGAAAAGATATGTATAATAGGATTGTCTTACAGTTGTAAATAAGAATAGGTCCTGTTTATTTTGACATTTTTACAAATGCATTGTATTAGGGTGTGAATATTCTGAACCATGCTCTTGTTTAAAGTTTTGAAATTTTTATTGTTAAATGTAACACTTTAATGGTTGTAATAATTATTTGTATAGATATGAATATAGTATTTTATTTAAGAAAATAAACTTTGCAATTTTTTGCATTGGAATTGGTTTTTTCCCTGATTATTGCATGTGACATTTTAAACCTTTTTGTGCATATTGAAGAATCATTTTCAAGAAATTTTAAAGTTTTGCCACATTTCTGACAGTAATCTTGTGACACTTTGCAGAGTTTGTGTTCCTAATCAGTCAACCTCAATTCATAATTATGATCAAAGCTACACTAAAATCTTGGATTGCAAGTGAGTGTTCCATAAGATAAACTTTTCTCATAAATTTTAATTTGATAAATGAGCACTTTCTTACAATTAGTATGTGACACTGAATGTGATATGATTAGAAATGAACCAGTAGTTCTTCTCTGTTTTCTGTTTCTCTTTCTTTCTGTGGGATTGTGGGTGACCATCTTATAGCAAGAGGTTGTGAAGGGGATCTTGTCTGGAGAAGAAGAGAAAAAGAAGAGTCCCTTCAGATGAGATTATGGGGATGTGTAAAATATGGGGAGCAGTGCAGAATTTTGTAGAAAAGCACCATCTGAATAAGGCTATATCAGTGCATAAGAGAAATCTGTCTAACAGCAGAATGCCACATTTCCATGAAATCCTCAAAAGGATGCAAAGTATCATTGGATAGGTTCTTTGTTGAAGCTGCATGAAAAGAAAAATATTGAGCCAATAGATAGCAGTGAATTTGTTAGTGAAAGTCATCCTACACAACAACCCTATTCTCCCTCACACCAGCACAAAATTTTTCAAAGGTAAGTGCAGGTTAATTTATTTTTGTTTATATTTTGTATTTTAATTTGTATTAACTATCGTAATCATTTTTATATGAGTATTGGGTTGTGAAATCTTCTGAGGTTTCATATTTTTTTTATGGGGGAACTAGCTTCACTAGACAAGTGCTTTAGATTGCAAACATGTTTTTAGAGTTCATTATGCTTGCAAACCAAGGTTTTACTGTTTATTGTTAGACTAAACTATGTGTCTCTTCTTAAGCAAAATTAGAAGTTCATATCTAGAAGAGTATTTAGAGATTACCCATTTTAAACTCTGTTTTATAGTGAATGAAAGTAGACAACTTTGAGATAAAAGATCCTTCATGATAGCTATACACATGAACTTAATTAAAATTTGCACTAACTACTAAGGGGAAAATCAAGAGGCTATTTGCACGATGTAATTTATGCAGTTTAAATGGCTACATCTTAATTTATTATTTAGGAATGGCCTATTGCAGAAAAATGATAAGGAAGTTACAAATCCACACTTCAGAGTAATGGATACCTACGAAAGGATAGAGGATGGTACGAAGGAGGAAGAGTGTGTTCCACTGCACTGAGTAGCAGGTACTCAGTTATTCTCACTTCTCCTTGGTTTCTGACTTATAAATACATGAAATATGTACTAATATATTAAAAGCAGAACCCACAAAGGTCATTTTTTTCTCATGTACTGTAGGAAATTGAAGCTCTAAATACTTGTACTAACTTCTTAGAGATTCAGATTAAAACTCAGTATTTTGATTGTCATTGTCATTTGATTGTCAATAAAACTGACTTTGAAGTCAGTTTCCTTCAAAGTATATAAATTGGTGCAGTTGCAACTTAAGTACTGTGAAATTTGGGGGGGGGGTGGAAATTGACAAACATCCTAAAGTTTATGTAATTTTTAAAATGTAGGTATGAGGATAGTCCACTATCTCAAGAAATAAAATTAGAAACTGGTCATGTGGTATACAGCTGTAGTTTGAGCACTCTGGGAATAGAGTCAGGACAATGGCAAGTTGAACCCAGCGTCCTAGCAACACTGTGTCTCAAAAAAAAATCAAAAGAGGCTGGTGGTGTAACTCAGTGCAAAGGCCCTAGTTTCAATCTGCAACGTGAGAAAAAGATGACCAGACAATAGCAAAGTTGAAAGATTTAAAATTACCAAAACATTACTATAAATTTTTCATTAATTGGCATATAGTAAGCCAATGGTAGGAAACCTGAGAAACATTATATTTCTATAATCATTGAATTTATGACAAGAGGTACCAGATTTGGGGAATAAAAGATGGTCTTTCAGTAAATTGTGCTGGAGTAACTAACTGGGTATGGAGAGGCTCTAAGATCTCTACCTCATACCATACACAAAAATTATTTTGAGTTGGATTATAAACCTAATTATGAAAGATAAAACACTAAAACTCCTTTAAAAAAAGTATTTCCTTTTTTTGGGGGGGGGTACCAGGGACCAAACTCATGACCTTGAGTTTACCAAACAGCCACTTGAGTGAGCTAAATCTCCAGCAACCCTCCACCCCACAAAAAAGTATTTCTTAATACGATCTCAGAATCTCTGGGCTTTGCTAACACCTTTTTAGAGAGTCTGTGCTGTGAAATGTATTTTTCTGACAGTATCGTGATGTAACACGCATATGTACTGTGTTGACACTTGCACTGATGGTGCAAAAGGAATAGTGCATAAAACTCCTGGTACTTAAGCACAGATCTAAGCAGTGGTGCCAATACTGTACTGTACTAGTAGTCGTTGATTGTTCATAATCATAATTTCATAGTGGAAAATAAAAAGCCAGTTCACATTAGAATGTTCACTTAATAAAACAATAGAGTTCATTACTTTTATTAAATCTTGACTATGGAGTGTATTTACCTTTAATATTCTTTATTAAATTTTATTTTTTGCTAGTACATGTTTGAGGTATATGATTGCATTCATCATGGGGAGTTGATGTACATCACACATTTTAGTTCCCTTCCCTATGTCTCCTCCATCTCTTTACCTCCTTTCCATATGCACAGGATGTGTCTCTCTGTTTCGTATTACCTTTAATTTTGCTCTTACACTTTAGGTTTCTCCTATAAGAGAAACTATGTGATATTTATGCATTGTGTGTCTAATTTCTTCCACTTAACATCATGATCTCAAAGTGCGTTCATTTTCTTACCAGTGATTCAAATTTATGCTTTATGGCAAAGTGGTCCTCTGTCGCATACAAGTACCACATTTTCTGATAGACGTGTAGGCTAATTCCAAGATTCATCTATTAGGAGTTGTGCTGCTATATACTTGAGTATGCATGTATCATTGTCTTATGTCTTTAACTGTTCTGGAAAGATACATAGAAGGGGAATAACTGGCTTGAATGGAATTTCTGTCTTTGGATTTTTGAAGGAATCTTCATACTGATTTTCATAGTGCTTATACTAATTTATATTCTCACCAACAATGTAGAAGTGTTCCTTTTTCCCCTGCAACCTCACCAGCATTTGTTATTTGATTTCTTGATAATGGCCATCTTTGTGGGGTTCTTTTTATTTTATTTTTTTTAAAGACAGAGTTTTTACTGTGTGCTTCAGGTTGGCTTGAACTCTCAGTAATCCTGAGTGCGCAGGTTACTATACCTATCTTTTTATGAAGTAAGATGGGTCCTTAGTATCATTTTACTTTACATTTCCCTAATGGTTAATGGCCTGCTATGTTGAACTCTCCCCCCCACCCCACCCCACCATGTATTAGCCATTTGTATTTCTGAGAAGTGTCTGTTTGAGGATGGGGTCTAATTTTTTTGTGTTCTTTATTTATTCCAGATATTAGTCCTATCTGAGAAATAGCTAACAAACATTGTTTCCCATTCTGTAGGTTGTTTCTTCGCACTGTTTGTTGTTTCTTTGGCTGTGCTAACTTTATAAGATGTTGATTCTTAGTTTTATTTCTTGTATAATTGAAATTCTTTTCAGAAAGTGTATGCGTATGTCTTCCAAGAGTTTTTCCTATTTTATCTTCCACCAGGTTAAGCATTTCTGTCTTGATTATGGCTATTTAGGATTCTGTATTTCATAGTTACCTGCTTTCTTCTGATTTTTCACTAATTCTAATTAACCTTTTATTAGTCTCCTTTGCATCGTCTAGCATCCATATTCTCTTGTTGTTCTTAGGATATCTCTAAGTACGTGGTCAGCTGCATCCATCCTGTCTTCTAGTTCTAACACTGTCCTCACGTTGGTCAGGCTTTCAAAAGAACTTTATAGCTTCTGGACTTCTGTGGTTCCTTTCTTAGATTCTAATTATTTTCTAAGGCAGTCATTCTAAGGCATTTCTAAGGCAGTTTTTTGTATTGTTCTGGGTAGCTAAAACTAGCTTTTACTTAGTATCTTATGTAAACTCACTTATTTTGTTTATTAAGTCCACTGTCTATTTAGCTATATCATCTGTGAGCATGCTGAGTTCCTTATTGATCTGTTTTGTTGTTTTTTGGAGGCAGGATCTTGTTCTGTAATTCAGATGGACTTTTTTTTTTTTCAGGAAAACAGCATAAGGATTTTTATTTTGTTTTATTTTAAAAGAACAAAACAAAGCCAATCAAAACAAAATGGTGAAACAGGACTTCAAAACAAGATAATAAATCAACAGTGGCTACCATAATGCCTCTTGTTATTTTCAAAATAGCTGTCCCTACCATCAGACATAGGAAAATCAAACATAACAGAACAGAATAGAACTAATAAGAGCAAAACAATGCATGCAATGCAGGGCTTCAAAACAAAATAACAGTAAATTCAAAATAGCTACCATAATACATCTTGCTATCTTTGAAATAGACTTTGAACAAACTACGTAGCCCAGGCTAACCTTGAACTCTAAGCAATCCTATTAGCCTCTTGAGTGCTGAGATTACAGGTGTGCACTACTATGCCTGGCTGGGTTTTTTTCCTATCTTTTATCTTTATATAATTAAGCTGATTGGCCTTTGACTTCTTCCCCATAGATGCCCCATGGATCAGCTTTGATGGAGTCCGTGGAGTTTTTGGAGACATTCTATTTTTTTTTTTTTTTTTTTTTTTTTTTTTTTTTTTTTTTTTGAGACGGGATCTTGCTATGCAGTTCAGTTTGGGCTTGAATTCACAATGTAGCGCAACCTGGCCTCCTGCCTCAGCTTTCTGAATGGCTTCTAACTCATGGTGATCCTCCTGCTTCAAGCCTCCGGGTGCTGGGATTGCAGGTGTGCACCACCATGCCCAGCCTGGAGATATTTTGTTGCC